GGGGGGGGGGGAAAGAATAGCGGTGGTGGGGGGTCTTTTTGGTCTGGACAGGGGCTGGAGTGGCTGTGAGGATGGAGGGCAAGATGGGCCCAGGGTTGCAATTTCAGACAAAATTCATCGCTAGGCCACTGACCCCATTTGGGGGGGAGGGAACGCCAAAGCCCCCCACCCCTTGGGGGGTGTTGAAAGGCTGAGGATGCTCAGCTGTTATGGGGGGGAGACGCACAACGGGGCTGTGGTGACACAGCTGGCAACGCCGCACAACACTCAAGTGTTTCTCAACCTTTTCGAGGCGTGGACTTCCAACTCCCAGAATTCCCCCAGCCAGAACGGCTGGCTGGGGGGATTCTGGGAATTCTGGGACCAAGGTTGAAAAAACACCGCTGTGCTCGTCAAGTTATCGCCATTCGGGCTTTCAGCAGAGATGCACCCTCACTGCTCGCCTGCCGGGGGTCCCGTAAGCATCCATGCGCCCCTACAAGACTCTACAAGATTGACGGTACAGTGAAAATGAAGGGGCTTTTTTGGGGGGGTGGGGGTAGGGAAGGAAATGGGGACTGCTGGAGGAGACCCCCCCTCCCAAAAAAAAAATCTGGATACCTTTGATTCCTGAATGCAGAGAGAGAGAGAGGAACCAGGATAGAAGTCCAGAAGGGAAAAAAATGCCCCCCTTAATAAAAACAAAACAGCAACGCTTCCGATCAGTGTTGAGTTTTCATCCATCGACATAAATTAAGCTGAAATTGATCTTGCAAAGCTTTTCCAGCCCTCTTGGTTTGGATTGTGAGAAAAGGGGAGCCCCCTCCCCAAGGCTGCAGATATTGGGTGCCTGGGACTAGCCGAATCTGGGGCGGGGGGCAACTGGATGAACAGAGAGGAAGGCTGACGCTTCCCTTCCCAAAAGAGAGACCCCCCCTCCGGTCTCCAATGAGCTGCAAGCTACACGTTTTGCTTCCAGAAGAGACCCCGATGGCTTTTAAGAAATGGAGGTGAATTGTTTGGGGGGGACCTGCCCTCCTGCCTCCGCCCCCCCCCCCAAATACAGACCCACCATTTCTCATTCTTGGGTAAAATACACCCCCGGATGGTGCAATTTTTAAATTCGCCGCCGGCAGGGAAGAAAGAGGCCGCTGAGAATATAAAAATAAAAACCAAAATTTTTTTTGATAGGGAGAGATTCCGACACGGGAAGGGGCTCCCTCTTTTGGCATGGGGGGGGAGGAGAGAAAAAACTGGGAGCTGGCTGGATCCATCTCCCAAGGTCCCAATTAATGCCTACCTTCTTTGAGGAAAAAAATCAGAAAAAAAAACCAATTTTTTAGTTCTTAAGCAAGCCCGGAAAAGTCCCCAGCACAACCACCGATCGGAGAGGAATTTCTGGATCGGAGAAGAATTATCCTGAATTATATCTCTGCTCCGAGGAGGGGGCAATGCTGGATTTTTTGACCCACTCAAGAGCAACAAGGATGATGGATCGTGATGTGGTGGGGGGCCTCATTTAAAGCCCTCCAATCTTGGTAGTCAGCTGGGCTGGTGGTGGCCACAGAAGGGTCTCTAGGACAACTCGTTGTGGTCAACTTGCTACGGGACCATTCTGTGCGGGATAACTCAACGCGATAAAATGTTACCCGCCACCGTTTCTCGGACATTGTTTTTATTTCTATTTTTCTCGATGTAATGTCCAAGAAACGGTGGCGGATAACATTTATCGCCCTGAGTTATCCCGCGTGGAATTGTGAGTTGGCGAGAGCAAATTGTCCCGTTAAAACGGTCACGGCGAGTTGTCCCATTCCAGCCACAGAGAAGCCCCTTAATCACAATTAAGGGGTGTAGGCATCTAGCTGGGCTTGGGAGGGGGAAAAAAGGGGTACTTCCTCCAAAATTAACTCTACACCAACCCCCAAAAGCCCACCTGGCCAAAGTGAGCTACAACGATCTGCACACAACATTCAAGTTAAGACTCGGAGACCTTTATGAGAAAGGGGGACCGGACTGCCCCCCAAACCCTCCCACCGATGGGCACCCTCTTGAGCTGGGAAGTCGATGGTGCATTTCAAGTGCCCTGCTTAAACCTATCATAAGTCCCAAGAGGAGAGGAGCTGAGCACCCCATTTCCCAGAGAGTTTTGGGGTGCAATCCCCCGGATGCTCCTCTAATCTCTTTGCGGACCTCCAGTTTTTGGTCCCGAACCGGTCTGGAGATCTACGGAGTCCACAGGAAGAGAATCAAAAAGACCGTGACGGATTTTTCTGGCAGGAGTTTCTTAGCCTTCTAAGAAATAAATGATTTAAAAACAAAAATAAATGGGAAAAACAGAGCTGACAACACTCCTGGCCTGCCCAAGTTTGTTTTAAAATAATAATAATAATAATAATCCAGACACGGTTCTTGTTCGGGTGGCGGTGAAGAGGAAGGAATATTTCAGTGCATTAACAATACATTCCGCGCCACCGGAAAGTGTTACACGACAGCCGTGGTGTGGAAAACCCTGATTTCCAGAAAAAGAGGGAAAAGAGAAGGGAAGGACCAACACACCACGCACACCCGTCCACGAAGGACAGGCTCTTCGGAGAAGAACCGACGTACGAGACAGGTGAATGCGACAAGTCGGTCCGAAGGCAAAAAAAGGAAATTAAAAACAAAAACAAAACAAAACAGCAACACACACAACTCGCATGCGTTTTGGCACCAGCTGGCAAAATAACCCCCCTCCCCTACTTTTCAAATATTTGTGGTTTTTTTTATTATAATAACAAACAAACAAAGAAAGCAGTGGGTAACCATCAAACCGTTCGGCCTAATTCCGAAGAGGAGTGCAAATGGGGAGGGGGGGAAGAAAAAAAATGAGTTTTCCAGTTTACAGAAGAGATGTCAGCCTCTTGAAGTAGGGGGGGGCAGGACAAAGATCCCCCCCCACCCCTTCGTTTATAAGAAGTCCTATTATGTACAGGGACACAAAGACGCAAAACACGCACAAATTTTTCCCCCCCTCCTTTTTTGGTGACACGAAGCTGGGAGAAGAGGAACAGGACCACGCGGGGTGGCCCCCTACTCTTAATTCATTTCTGGAGTCTGATCGAAGTGCTTGATGGAGGGGGGAGGAAGGGAAAGGCAAGGAGACACCCCCTCCCCACGAGCCCCCCACCCCACCCCCAGAGCTTTGCACAGTGGAGAGAAAAGGAAACAGAGATAGCCGGTAAGTTTGGAGAAGGCCCACTGTTTTTATTCAAGTAACCGGAGAATCGGACCCTTTTTTTCCCCCAACGCCTGCCTTAAAAGAACACCCGTTCCGGAAAATAAATTATATATACGTATATATATATATTGAAAAAAACAAACCCACAAAATTTTAAATCTCCTCTTTTTTTGCAGCTAAAAAGGGGCTGTTTTCAGCAAGGGGAGTTAAGAGGGGCGCGCTTGCAAGCCCGCGCACGGGCGCGCGATGCGTTCCCTGCCCTTAACGCGGCGGGCAAAGCTACCGGTTGCCCGCTGTGTTGTAGAGGCCACGGGTGGGTGGGTAGGCGGGCACACTTGGGGAAAGAGGCTTCCCTGCCAGCTGCAGAGGTGGGCAGATGTTTTTAAGGGAAGGGGGAGCACCGAGGCTGGGGGGGGGCTTTCTGGGGGAGGAGGGAGAAGATCAGAGACAGCGGCCCTCTCCGTAGGACACCCCCTACTCAAATGCATCAGGATGGCCCTTTGGGGGGGGAGGGTCCACAGGAGGTGGCATGGTGGAAATCAGTGGCATTGCGGGCGCGACGTTGTCCTGATGTGCGTGCGCTACAATATTGTGGCTTCTCCTGGACGTCTTCGGAGATGAGCAGAGAGGAAAATAAACTGTTTGGATCCAGGGGTTCAAACCCCGAGGAGGACGAGGTGGGACTTAAAGGGTTCCTGCCAGCCCCCCACCCCTAATTAGCAGAGCGGGGGGCTTTGCACCCCCCCAAACCCTACTCTCTGGCAACGGCAGGACCGTAATGGTGGGAAAATAAAAACTACGGCCTCTTTTTCCCCCCCCCCTTCGTTTTTGCAAAAGAAAGGGTGTTCTTTTAAGACGAAGCTGGGGAAAAAAAATTAAGAGGTAAAAAATCTTTTCATAGGTAGGAAAAAAAACCAAAACATCCAATGAAAAACAAAACGAAATAAAACACAACACGACAAAACAGCACGGGACGCTCCTGCAGTCCCTCGCACGGATGGGGAGTCATTTTTTTTTTTTCTTAAACCTTGAATTTTAGCCGCCTCGGAAATGTACATGCAAAAAAAAAACAAAAAAAAAGGAGGAACCGTACAAATAAAAGAACATATAATATATATATATATATAAAAAAACCAACCTAACTAATAAAGTGCATGTTTCGTTATATATTACATCTGCGCCAATTTGAAGAACACACACAACCGAGGGATTGTGAAAAGTTGGGAGGAGGGGAGGAGGAAAGGGGAGGGGGGAAGAGGAGGGAGGGGAAACCGAGGCAGAGATCACATCGTATTGTAGACGGGGTTGGTGGTTCGTTTCCGCTCGGACTTTTTTAATTTCCTGGGCAATCGAGTTCTGGTGGGGGGGATTCGAGCGAGCCCGGTTGGGTGGGCCGGGCTGTGGCCCCAAGTCCACGTTCCTTCGGGGGCCCCGCAGGCCGGGGGGAAGTCTTGGGCGAATTGAGCCAGGGGTCTTTCCACCGGCCGACTCAGGGCCAGGCTTTCCCACAGCTTGACCGGTTCCACCAAATGCCTCGTGGGCTCGGGAGACAGGAGGGCCAGGGAGGAGATGACCGGATCCGGCATGGGGACCCGGAACGATTCTGGCGAGACCGGTCTGGCGCCGGTGGACAGGCAGCAGCCACGGGGCAAGTCGTCCTTCAGCGAGCCCAGACAGTCCAGTTTGGCCAAAGAGGCCGAGCGCTTCATTTGGGACGGCGCGGTCAGCCCGGCTTGCCGCAGGCGGCATTCCAGTTCTTTCGCCAGCTGCTTGACCAGGCCTGTCCCCTGGCCGTCGTCTTTGGCGCAAGCGTCGCAGCTAGAACGGCGAGGGAGAGAGCAGCAGAGAGGTGGGGCTGCGCGGACGTCCGGAGGGATTTTTCTCGGATCGGGGATCCAGCGTGTCCAGGGCAAGAAACCCCTTCCCCTCTCCTCCAGGGAGAAGTGGCCATTTCCAGCATAGCCCCCTGAGGGAGCCGGCTCAGGTTCGGTGCTTGTGCTGTCCTGAGTGACCCCCTCCAGGCCGAGATGGGGCTGGCCGCATGAAGAAGGTGGAGGGGAGCACCTCGCTCGGTTGGCAGGAGAGCAGGGGGCTGCCAAGTTGGACGGTGCCATTTCCCCCACCTCCTTGTCCGTCTCCTTCGGGTTCCCCCAAGAGAAGGGGGCTTTGTTGAAGGGGCCGCTCTCCTGTTCTGGAGTCCCGGACGAATCCGGGCTGCATCTAGGTGTCTCTGAGCTGAAAGTGGCGTTGCAGTTTTCATCCAGGGTTTTCTCTGGGGTCCGAGCGGTGCCCCCCTTCTCGGCCCCCTCTGTGCCAGGCAAAGCAGGTGTGTATTCGATGATCTCGATTCTCTTGGGGAGGGGGCTGAGCAGAGGAGGACCCTCGTCACCCTCCATCCAAAGCACCATCCGGTGCTCGTGAGCTACGCCCGATATCTCCGCAGGGACTTCCGGTGGAGGAGACACTTCCGACGGCGGTTCGGAGACGGTCGCCGTCTCGCAGCTGCTGCCTGTCCTCAAGACCTCGTTACTCTTCGGGAGCTGGGCCGGCTCATGTGGCGGATCCTCGTTCTTGCCCTTGGCGCTCGGATCGGAGGCGGGGGACTCGTTCCTGGAATTCTTCCGGACGGGGAACAGGGCGATGGGGGGAGCGTGCTGCAAATCTTGCTGCTCCTGCCGTAGACGCTCTTCGAACTCTAGAGTGGCCCGTCGGACGGAACCAGGGCACCATTTGGGCCCGGGGAGGACTCGGGCATCTGCGGGGTCTTCAGCCAAGCCCCTTCCTTCCATGTCTGGCTTAGAGGCGAGCATTGGGGGCAACGAAGACCCGTCTGGATCCGGTTTCAAAGGCTCCCGAGCAGCTTCTTTCGGGACAGGTCCGGCCGTGTCCCCTGCCTCCTCGGCCTTCCCGTGCTTGCTGTCCTCGGCTGGCGTCTCATGGAGGGGGGTCCTCTTGGGCGTTGGGAGGGGATTGTTGGTGGTCTCTGCCTTGGCTGGTCCCTGTGACCCTCCCTGATGGATTGACTCGATCTCAGTGACGATCCCTTTGACCGAGATGACAGGGGAATGGGACCGGGTCAGGCCCACGGGAGGCTCAGGTTCCGAGAGCTGAAAAAAAAGGAAGAAAGAAAGCAGAAAAAAGAATCTTAATTTGGTGACAATCCAAAGAAGGCTTCAACATCAAATCAGGCCACATTACATACAGGCTGTTCTCGACTTACAATGGTTCATTTAGCGACCAAAGTTACAACGGCACTGAAAAAAGTGACTTATGACCGTTTTTCACACACGACTGTTTCTCACACTTACGACCGTTTTTCACACTTACGACCGTTGCACCATCCCCATGGAAACATGATCAAAATTCAGATGCTTGGAAACTGGTTCACATTTACGACCGTCGCCATGTCCCGGGGTCAGTTTGCTCTCCTTTTGCGACCTTCCGACAAGCAAAGCCAACAGGGGAAAGGCAGATTTCACTTAATGACTTAATGGGACTAACTTCCCAACTGCCTAGCAACGGTGGCAAGAAAAGGTGATACAATGGGGCCAAACTCACAATGTCTCACTTGGTAGAAATTTGGGGCCCGACTGTGGTCGTAACTGGAGGAGTGTCTGTAATTCTGAATTTCGACTTTTCAAAGCTACAGTGGACTTTCTACCTACGATCAGCGTGCAAAGTCAGGATGGGGCCGACCTTTTCTTTTTTTTTGCGACGGCTGTTAAGCGAATCCCTTCGGTTGTTAAGTGAATCTGTAGTCATTAAGCAGACACTGCAGTTTTGTCCAGAACTAGAAGTAAGTGCCAGTTTGGGGCAAACCATAGTAAAATGTAGCCCCATCGCTGCGTTACCCTGTAAATGTTGAGCACCTGAATTGCAGTCATGGGACCACGGGGGGGGGGGGGGGAAGGGAGATTAACGTCAAATCTGGATCATCACAACTTTAAACCGTCGCTAAGTGAGCAGTCGTAAGTCGAGGACAACCTGTAATCCGATCAACAATGGCAAGGTACAATCATTATGACCAAGATTCTCTTCATTCCTGGGTTGCAAATGTGGCGGAGGTCTTCAACTGGCAAGGAGGGAGGGAGGGGGCTCACACACACACACACACACACACACACACACACACACACACACACACACACACACGGATGGAGCAAGTCTGCCGTTTGGCTCTGGGGCTACTCCTTGACCAGCAGATGGCGCCAGCAGCCAAGGGAACTAGAGCAGCTGCCTGGCCCTCCCTGGAAAAGAGAGCTTGGGTGCCACCATGACCCCTCCACCCCCTCCTCCCCAAATCCTGGGGGTGGTGATGGTGGTCGGGAAAGGCACCCACCGAGCTGTTATTCTGGGGGCCCGTTGCGATTTGGGAAGATGCCAAGCAGCAGGAGGAAGAGGGGAAGCTGGTGCTGGTGCCCCCTGGCATAAAAGGGGAAGGGGTGGTACTTCAGTCAGGGTTAATTCCCATTCTCTCTCTCTCTCTCCATCCTTTCTCCATCCATCCATCCATCCATCCATCCTTTCATCTGTCTGTCTGTCTGTCTGTCTGTCGGTCGGTCCGTCCGTCCGTCCGTCCGTCCGTCCGTCCGTCCATCCATCCATCCATCCATCCCCCCTCTCTCTATCAATCATATCTGTCTCCATCAATCCATCCATTCCCCCCCTCTCTGTCTCTCTCTATCATATATATCATCTGTCATCTATCTATCTATCTATCTATCTATCTATCTATCTATCTATCTATCTATCTATCTATCTATCTATCTATCTATCTATCATCTATTAGTCTCTCTCTCTCTCTCTCTCTATCTATCTATATCTGTTTCTCTCTATCATATCTATCTATCTATCTATCTATCTATCTATCTATCTATCTATCTATCTATCTATCTATCTATCATCTATTAGTCTCTCTCTCTCTCTCTATCTATGTCTGTTTCTCTCTATCATATCTATCTATCTATCTATCTATCTATCTATCTATCTATCTATCTATCTATCTATCTATCTATCTATCTCTATATCCATCCATCCATCCTCTATCAATATCTGTCTCCATCAATCCATCTTCCCCCCCCTCTCTGTCGTCTGTCTCTATCATATATATCATCTGTCATCTATCTATCTATCTATCTATCTATCTATCTATCTATCTATCTATCTATCTATCTATCTATCTATCTATCTATCTATCCCTCCCTCCCTCCCTCCCTCCCTCCCTCCCTCTCTCTCTCTCTCTCTCTCTCTCTCCATCCATCAGTCCATCTACTCACCCACCCACCTATCTATTTATCTAATTTTTGAACCACCCGTTTTCCTATGATAGGGACTCTGGGTGGTTGGTGTACAACAAAAACAATAAAATATCAAAACATACATAAATATAAAACATAAAGGTTAAAGTTTTAAAACGAGGCAAGGATGATTAAACACTGGTAAACACTGCCTGCTCTGCTGGGCTCCCCTTGCAACGTGGAAGAGCCCTGGTTTTATACCTTTCTGGAAGGGCAGGAGAAGGAGGGTCCACCTCACCTCCAGGGGAGGATATCCCACTTTAAAAGAGGGGTCCCCAAACTTGGCAACTTTAGGACTTGTGGACTCCCAGAATTCCCCAGCCAGCTTTAAGACTTGTGGACTACAACTCCCAGAATTCCCTAGCCAGCTTTAAGACTTGTGGACTACAACTCCCAGAATTCCCCAGTCAACTTTAGGACTTGTGGACTTCAGCGCCCAGAATTCTCCAGCCAACATGCTTTAAGATGGGTGGACTTTCACTCCCAGGATTCCCTAGCCATCATCATCATGGCTGGCTGGGGACTTCTGGGAGCGGAAGTCCACGAGTCTTAAAAGAGGCCAGGTTTGGAGAGCCCTGCTTTAGAAAGTCCTAGGAGTGATGGGGATCACCCAGACGTCCTCCCCTCTGCCTGGGATACCTTCAGCTGCTCCTCCTCCAGAGAAGACGCCTCCGAGACCTGCGGGGAGCTGCCCGCCGAGGCGCTTCGCCGGGCCTGCTCGGCAGGATCGCAAGGCAGCAGCTCCAAGCCAGAGACCCGGGGATTCCCGTTTCGCCCGTTGCCCAGATCTTCCGCTCTGGACGAGGCCCGCGGCCTCTTCTCCTGCGACAGCTCCACAAACTTCTCCAAGGCGCTGAAGAAGTCAATCCGATCCGTGCCAAAGTCTCCGGCTGTGGCATCCTCCTCCTCCTCCTCCTCCTCCTCTTCTTCTTCTTCCTCCTCCTCCTCCTCTTCCTCCTCCTCGTCCGGCTGAGAAAGGTTGCCGGGCGGGCTGGGCGTGTCTCGCAAGCAGGACTCCAACTCCTCCATGGGCACCAGGTGGACGTTCCCGTCTCCCGGCTTGAGGGCGTCGTTCTCTAACTCATCCACCGCCAAGTCCGGAAACCCACCGGCCGATGTCAAGGCACCCCCTTGCTCCAGTAAGGCCTCGGAGGGATTGCAGTTGTCTAGGGGCGACTCGGCGTCGCCCGGACAGCATCCGGTAGGGCACCCATTGAGGTTGTTCAAATTCAGCTGGTCCTCTATCTGCTCGGCGTCGATGTCTCGGGGCGCAATTTCCAGCTGGATCACCCTCTCCTTGCCCGGAAGATTCGCCAAAGGGCCGGAGCCCAAATGGCACAGCAAGGGTCCGTGCGGGCTGGCACTGATCCCCACAGGCACCGCCACGAGGCTGCTGGAAGACCTGTTCTCGGAGATCTGGTCGGCCGAGGTGGTAATTTCTTTTTTGCTGACCTCCATCCCCGAATTGCCGATGGGCTCGTGGTGGTCTGAGATGTCGCTCTCGGAGTGTGAGCGCCACAGCTTGTTGTGGCGTTGCTTGCTGCGGAGTGAGAGAGAGAGAGAGAAAATGAAGGGAGGTTTTTTTTAATTTTATTTTATTTAGTACAGATTGGACGAGACCTGGCTCAAAAATAGTAACCTTGGAGTCCGACTGGATGATCACTTCAAGGTGAGCCAGCTGTGTGCAGCAGCGGCAGCCAAAAAAGCTAATACAATCCCGGGTTGCAGAAACAGAGGCACAGAATCAAGATCATGCGAAGTATTGCCGTGTTTCCCCCAAAGTAAGGCCTACACCAGGGATCTTCAAACTGGGCCCTTTTGTGACTTGTGGACTTCAACTCCCAGAATTCCTCAGCCAGGATGCTTTAAGACAGGGGTCTTCAAACGTGGCCCTTTGATGACTTGTGGACTTCAACTCCCAGAATTCCTCAGCCAGGATGCTTTAAGACAGGGGTCTTCAAACTGGGCCCTTTTGTGACTTGTGGACTTCAACTCCCAGAATTCCTCAGCCAGGAATTCTGGGAGTTGAAGTCCACAAGTCATCAAAGGGCCATGTTTGAAGACCCCTGGCCTATACCAACATTAAGCCCTAGCTTGATTTTGGGGAGTGGGCCTAATATAAGCCCTATCCCAAAAATAAGCCCTAGTTTTGGGGTGGGGCACACCCCTAAAAATCAAGCTAGGCCGGGGGTATGTGGAGCTGCCCCATGCGCCCAGCACCCGCTTACCTGGCAGCCAGGCCTCTCCTCACCGGCCCACTTCTTCTTCTGAGGCCTTTTCTGCAGCCAGGCCTGAATTTCTCACTCACAGGCTTTTCCGGAAGGCCTTTGTAGCCAAGAACCGAGCTATGGGTTCAATCCGTAGCTCGGTTCTGCAAGACTCAGCAGCCGAACAACGAGCTATGGATTGAATCCATAGCTCGATTCTCGGCTGCTTAGGCCTTCCGGAAAGGCCTGACTGCAAAATGCAGGCCCGAATGCAGCTGCAGAACTTCGGCCCCAGAAGAAGTGGACCAGCTGGGTGGGGCTGTTGGTGCCGGAGGTGAGGCAAGGCCTACCCCGAAAATAAGACCTGGTGCTTCTTTTGGAGGCAAAAAAAAATAATAAATAAAAATAAAATAAGACCCGGTCTTATTTTCAGGGAAACATAGCAGTACCGCTTTATAAAACCCTAGGGCAGGGGTAGGCAACCTTGGCTCTTTTATGACTCGTGGACTTCAACTCCCAGAATTCCTGAGCCAGCATGGCTCAGCTTGGAACCCTCTCCCTTTCCCCTCAGCATGGCTGGCTCAGGAATTCTGGGAGTTGAAGTCTGCGAGTCATAAAAGAGCCAAGGTTGCCTACCCCTGCCCTAGGGAGACCACATCTGGAATACTGCAGCCAATTTTGGTCACCATACTACAAAAAAGATGTTGAGAGTTTGGAAAAAGTGCAGAGAAGAGCAACTAAGATGGTCCAAGGCCTGGAGACTAAAACATACGAAGAACGGCTGCAGGACTTGGGTTTGGCTAGTCTAAAGAAAACAAGGAACAAGGGAGACATGATAGCCGTACTCCAGTATTTGAGGGGCTGCCACAGAGAAGAGGGGGTCACATTATTCTCCAAAGCACCAGAGGGCAGGAGAAGAAACAACGGTTGGAAATTGAACAAAGAGAGAAGCAACCTGGAATTAAGGAGAAACTTCCCGACAGGGAGGACAATTAACCAGTGGAACAGCTTGCCACCAGAAATTGTGGACGCTCCATCAGTGGAGGCTTTTAAGAAGAGACTGGACAGTCCCCTGTCTGAGATGGTATAGGTTCTCCTGCTTGAGTGGGTGGCTGGACTAGAAGACCTCCAAGGTCCCTTCCAGATCTATTCTCTTCTAGTGCCATTTGTTTAGGGACCGTCTGAAGTTACAACAGCACTCAAAAAAGGACCATTATTCATACTTAACGACCCTTGCAACACCCCCCCATGGTCAAGTGATTCAAATTCGGATGCTGGGCGACAGGCTCGTATTTATGACCGCCGCAGTGTCATGTGATCACCTTTTATCGATGAGCAAAGTCAGTGGGAAAATCAGATTTATTTAACAATTGTTAAATTGCCAACACTTGGAAACCGGTTCTGGACTTTGTGCTTGAGGTGGGGGAAAAAAAGATGGAGCTTTGATTTTGGGTTTGGCCGATTAGATAAGCTCGCTGTGACAAAAACGGCTCGTTTATATTATTATTTCCCTCCCTTGTTTTCCTATTTTTTTCTTTTCTATTTTCTGTTATATTTGGACCAGCTAACAAAATTCTGAGTGAGAATCGTGTTGCTAACTTAACAACTGCAGGGATTCGTTTAACAACTGTGACGAGAAAGGCCGCAAAACGGGGCGCTTCCAAACCGTTTCGGTTAGCGGCAGAAATCTGGGGCTCGGTTGTCGTCATAAGTCGAGGGCTACTTGCGCGTCGCTGAGTGAGACGCGGAGGGAGAAGAAACGCAAGGAGTGCTCGACTTGCGCTGAATTTATGGTGCTAAATGAGAAGCTGGTTAAGGGAGTTTTTGCCCCATTTTACGACTTTCCCTGCCCCGTTTATTAAGCGAATCGGAGCAATTGTTAAGTTCGTCACCCGGTCGTTAAGCGAATCCAGCTTCCCCCGTTGAGTTTGCTTGTGGGAAGACCGCCAAAAGGGGATCACGTGACCCCCCCTCAGCACACCGCAAACCGTCGTAAACCTGAGCCTGTGGCCGAGGGTCCGAATTTGGATGCTGCAACAGTCGTTAAGTGGGACACACACATTTTTTCCATGCCGTTGTGACTTAGAACGGTCACTAAATGAACTGTGTTGTTAAGTGGAGGATGACCTGGACATCCCTGAGCGAGAGAAGCAGAGGGGAAAAAAGAAAACATTATGCAAGATTTTTGGAGCCTTGAGCAAGGAGAGGTGAAGGAGAAAAACAGTGCCGGACACAATCCGGTCAGGATCAACATCCAAAGCCTCAAAAGATCAGGTTGCTAGGGGCGTCGGAGACCCGGAGGGTGTTTTGTGTGTTTAGTGGACACTCCGTCCCGGTCACACGCTCTGCTGCTGGTCAGCTGCTGGTCCCGCTGGGCCATCTGTTCCCAGGAACACAGGGACATCTTTCCAGAAAGAGGCAAAAAACAGGCCAGGTGATCCTGCGGCCACCAGCTGTGACCAAGGGGAAGGGCCGGTCAAGTCAGTCGGGCCCAGTGGCACCTCGCTCTGTTTCTCCCCCACCCGACACACACACATATGGCTGGGCTGGCAAGGCTGCTGGGGGTGCAGAGGCTTTGGGAGATGTTGGCTCCATGGCCCCTTCCAGCTCCTATTCTATTTCTATTCTATTTTCTATTCTATTCTCTATTCTCTATTCTCTATTCTCTTCTATTCCATTCCATTCTATTCTATTCTACTCTACTCCACTCTATTCTATCCTATTTGCTATTCTATTCTATTCTTTTTGCTATTCTATTCTATTCTTCTTCATTCTATTCTATACTATTTCTTTATTCTATTCTATTCTATTCATTATTCTATTCTATTCTATTCTATTCTATTCCATTCATTATTCTATTCTATACTATTTCCTTATTCTGTTCTATTCTATTCTATTCATTATTCTATTCTATTCTACTTTTTGCTATTCTATTCTATTCTATTCTATTCTATTCTATTCCATTCCATTCTATTCATTATTCTATTCTATACTATTTCCTTATTCTATTCTATTCTATTCTATTCTATTCTATTCTATTCTATTCTATTCTATTCCATTCCATTCCATTCCATTCCATTCCATTCATTATTCTATTCTATTCTATTCTTTTTTGCTTTTATTCTATTCTATTCTATTCATTATTCTATTCTATACTATTTCCTTATTCTATTCATTATTCTATTCTATTCTTTTTTTATTCTATTCTATTCATGATTCTATTTTATTCTATTCTATTCTATTCTACTCTACTCTATTCTGTATTTCCATTCTGTTCTATCCTTTCCTATTCTCTATTCTATTCTATCCTATTCTCTATTCTATCCTATTCTATTCTGTATCTCTATTCTATATTCTGTATCTCTATTCTGTTCTATTCTCTTCTCTCTTCTCTTGTATTCCATTCCATTCTTTATTCTATTTTCTATTATTTTCTACTCTACTCTACTCTATTCATTTAAAATTTCATTTTAAAACCAATTTCATTTTAAATTGTATTTTATTTCTATTTTATCCCAAATTATATTTTAACTAACTCCATTCTAAACTGTTTTTACTGCATTTTAGTATAGCGTGTGTTTGGGACTCTGCACTTCGATATGGCCCATGGGCTAATCAATAAAGATTCTTATTCAAATTCCTTCCCTTCAGTCCCGTTTCTGGCCAGTTGTTGCTTCAAATCACACTTTTGAAACCCCCCGACATTCGAACCCGAGGCATCTGGCAGGCACATGGCTGCGGGGAGTCCCTCCACCGAAAACACAAAACAGGTTGCCCAAGATGGTGGTTTCTTGTTACAAAAACAAGCCTGAGGCTTTCGCATGAGAAATAACAGGCGGATAAGGGAAGGGACCTTGGAGATCTTTTGATCACGTGACCTGGGGACGCTGCAACTGTCCGTCATAAATACGAGTCAGTGGCTTAAGAGTCTGAATTTTGATCACGTGAGCACGGGGACGCTGCAACTGTCCGTCAGAAATACGAGTCAGTGGCCAAAGCGTCTGAATTTTGATCACGTGACTCGGGACGCTGCAACTGTCCGTCAGAAATACAAGTGAGTGGCTAGAGTCTGAATTTTGATCATGTGACCGCGGGGACGCTGCAACTGTCCGTCATAAATACAAGTCAGTGGCCGAAGCGTCTGAATTTTGATCACGTGACCTGGGACACTGCAACTGTCCATCATAAATACGAGTCAGTGGCCAAATTTTGATCACGTGACCATGGGGACGCTGCAACTGTCCGTCAGAAATACGAGTCAGTGGCTAAAGAGTCTGAATTTTGATCATGTGACCACGGGGACGCTGCAACTGTCCGTCATAAATACGAGTCAGTGGCCGAAGAGTCTGAATTTTGATCATGTGACCACGGGGATGCTGCAACTGTCCGTCATAAATATGAGTCAGTGGCCGAAGCATCTGAAATATGATCACTTGACCCGGGACACTAACTGTCCGTCATAAATACGAGTCAGTGGCCAAAGCGTCTGAATTTTGATCACGTGACCCGGGGACGCTGCAACTGTCCGTCATAAATACGAGTCAGTGGCCGAAGCGTCTGAATTTTGATCACGTGACCTGGGGACACTGCAACTGTCCGTCATAAATATGAGTCAGTGGCCAAATTTTTGATCATGTGACCTGGGACACTGCAACTGTCCGTCACAAATACGAGTAAGTGGCCGAAGCGCCTGAATTTTGATCACGTGACCCGGGGACGCTGCAAGGGTGGCAAGTGTGAAAATTGGCCCCAAGTCCCTTTTTTGTGACTTTGGTCGCTAAACGAGGACACCTTGTGCAAGCCGAACAGGGGGTGGTGCCAAGCCCCCCTCTGGGTCATAGCCCGGACCCACCTGGCCAGGAGGATGCCCTGGTACTCCTCCAGCTGGCGCATGAAGCTGGGGTTGGGCTTGGTGACGCTACGGCGCTCCTTGACGTACTCGTAGGCCCGGTCGAGGTTCCAGCCGTACTCCTTCATAGCGTAGGCGATGACGGTGGACGCCGAGCGGCTGACGCCCATCTTGCAGTGGACCAGGCACTTGGAGCCGTGCTTCCTAGGAGGGGACCAGCAGGAGGACGGTTGCAGGAGGAGAGGGACCCCCAGCCCCAGAAGGCAGCCCCCTCCCCGGCCTTGCACCGCCTCAGGTTCACAAGCAGGGGAACTCGGGCTGCTGCCCTCTGTCCGTCCACCCACCCACCCACCTGCTGAACGGTCTGTCCATCTGCCTATCATCCATCCATCCCTCTCTCTCTCTCTCTTTCTCTCTCTCTTTCTGTCATCTATTTATCTTTTATCTATCAGCTATCTTTAATTTGTCCATCATTATCTATCAGCTCTCGGTCTGTCTAGCTAGACAGTATCAATTATCTATCTATATCTACAGTGTCTGTCTGTCTGTCTATCTATCTATCTAGTCTGTTTATCCATCTGTCTATCATCCATATCTCTTTCTCTATTTCTATTATCTCTATCTATCTATCTATCTATCTATCTATCTATCTATCTATCTATCTATCTATCTATCTATCTATCTATCTATCATCTATTAGTCTGTCTATCTATCTATCTATCTATCTATCTATCTATCTATATATCTATTATCTATTAGTCTGTCTGTCTGTCTGTCTGTCTGTCTGTCTGTCTGTCTGTCTGTCTGTCTGTCTGTCTGTCTGTCTGTCTGTCTATCTATCTATCTATCTATCTATCTATCTATCTATCTATCTATCTATCTATCTATCTATCTATCTATCTATCTATCTATCTATCTATCTATCTATCTATCTATCTATCTATCTATCTATCCATCCAGTATCTATTATCTATCTATATCTAGAGTTTCTGTCAATCTGTCTGTCTATCTATCTACAATATCTATCTATCCCAAAGATGCTTTTTCAGGAGGCATCAGTCAGTCAGTGTCAGTCAGTCAGTCAGTCTGTATCTATCTCTTTCTCTTTTTCTATTTCTATTCACCTACCTACCTACCTACCTACCGTATCTCTCTCTTTCATTTTTCTGTCTGTCTCTCTCAATCTATTTTGCCATTTTGACCACGTTCTAGGGGCACCCCTGCTTATTGCACATACAGGCTTCCATGGCAGAGCCGTGTCTCCCAAAAGCGGGGGATCAGCACCCCCAGCCTTGGAGCACTAACTGGGAAGGGCTTCTCTTAACCACCTTTAAGCTGACAAGGTTCTCAGAACAACTCCATTTCCCTAACCAGATGGAATATCCTCCTTCCGCTCTTAATCACGGTTAAATGCTGATTTGATCCAGCCATTTGCTGGGCTTAAAGTTCCCCAGAATCTTTAATAGGGGTGGGCAACTTACGCCCCCCTCGGCGACCTGTGGACTTCAACTCCCAGAATTCCCAAGTCAGCCGGCAGGGCTCAGGAATTCTGGGGGTTGCTCCCGCCCTGCTCTTGAATTATTCTACGCCGCAAAATAAACGAAAGCCACCGCAGGCGGCCAAACGAATCGCAGAGAAAAGCAAGCCAGAAAAAAGGGACTCACTTCGCTTTGGAGATGAATTTGTAGGTGTCGTTCCAGTAAGCCAGCAAATCCGTCGCCTCTTCGTCGTAAACTCGGATATTGTGGTATTCAAAAACTCCCGGGAAGAAATTGTCGATCTCACGAGTGACGTTCAGAATATACCGCACCCTGCGGGGAAATGGGACGAGGTTGTATTCTTTGTTGATATCCTGCCTTTTATTATCTTTACAAATAACGCAAGGGGGGGGATGACGACGAACCGTATCCAACGCACCTTCCGCCTCGTCTTTTCCCCACCACAAGAACCCTGTGAGGCGGGCCGGTCTGAGAGAGAGGGACTGGCTCAAAGTCCCCTTTCAAGGGTAAGAAGGGAGGATTAGAACTCAGAGCCTCCCGCTGTGTAGCCTGGCACCTTAATCCCTAGACCAAACTGGCTCTCTGCTCTCTCAAACTAATCCTTGATTTACAACAAAAGTTCGGATCAGAATTTCCGCCGCTAAGCAGGGCAGTTATTGAACGGATCAGGCCTGGTTTTTATGACCTCTTTTGGCCAAGGAAAAAGCAAATCCCTAGGAGACAGTGAGTTCTAGTCTCGTCACTCGTTCTAGTCTTTCTTTCTTTTTCTTTCTTTCTTTCTTTCTTTCTTTCTTTCTTTCTTTCTTTCTTTCTTTCTTTTTCTTTCTTTCCTTCCTTCCTTTTTCTTTCCTCCCTTCCTTCCTTTCTTCTTTCTTTCTTTCTTTCTCTCTCTCTCTGTCTCTCTCTTTCCTTCCTTCCTTATTTTTCTTTCTTTCTTCCTTTTTCTTCCCTTCCTTTCTTCCTTTCTTCTTTCTTTCTTTTTTCTTTCTTTCTCTGTCTCTCTCTCTTTCCTTCCTTCCTTCTTTATTTTTTTCTTTCTTTCTTTCTTTCTTTCTTTCTTTCTTTCTTTCTTTCTTTCTTTCTTTCTTTCTTTCTCTCTCTCTCTCTCTTTCTCTTCCTTCCTTCCTTCCCTCCCAAGCAATAGCACTTAGACTTATATACCGCTTCGCAGTGCTTTACAGCCCTCTCTAAGCAGTTTTACAGAGTCAGCCTATTTGCCCCCAACAATCTGGGTCCTCATTTTACCGACCTCATAAGGACGGAAGGCTGAGTCAACCTTGAGCCGGTCAGGATCAAACTTCCTGGCTGTGGGCAGAGTCAGCCTGCAATGCTTGCATTCTAAGTACTGCACCACCAGGGTTCTTGAGAATGACCTGTAGATTAATCTCCAGGAATACTGAAGGAAGTGTGTACGCATTACACACAGACACACAGACACACACACACAACCAGTGCCTTCTACACACACAGACACTCACATGAATGCATGCATGCCCAAACACACATACAAACGTCCTTCAGAGAGGTGGTAACAGCCAATAAAACCAACAATTTATTTAAATCACTGGATTAAACCAAATTAATGCAATTGAACCCAAACAACAAAACTTGTGTTTTGTGAGGACAATTTTCGTGGCCAACTCACCCTCTTGTCTGCAAGTCTTCCAGATTGGAGGCGTTCCACTCCGAACCCTGCACAAACAGGCGAGAAAGCAAAACACAACAGTCACACGTCAGCCAAGAGCGGAGCTGGTCATGCAAGTAATAATAGTAATAATAATAATAATAATTTTAAAAGCTATATATGAGAATATCAGGTACAAGAGATATTCAAAACCCCTGGCTAAGAATATTTGACTGTCGTTGTCTAGGACAGGGGCAGGCAACCTGGGCTCTTTTATGACTGGTGGACTTCAACTCCCAGAATTCCTGAGCCAGCATGGCTCAGCTTGGAAACCTCTCCCTTTCCCCTCAGCATGGCTGGCTCAGGAATTCTGGGAGTTGAAGTCCACGAGTCATGAAAGGGCCAAAGTTTCCCTCATGCTGGCTCAGGAATTCTGGGAGTTGAAGTCCACAAGTCATGAAGGGGCCAAAGTTTCCCTCATGCTGGCTCAGGAATTCTGGGAGTTAAGTCCACCAGTCATGAAGGGGGCCATAGTTCCCCCATGCTGGCTCAGGAATTCTGGGAGTTGAAGTCCACGAGTTATGAAGGGGCCAAAGTTTCCCTCAGGCTGGCTCAGGAATTCTGGGAGTTGAAGTCCACCAGTCATAAAAGAGCCAAGGCTGCCTACCCTCAATCTAAGCCAAGAGCGTCCAACTTTAGCCACTTTAAGGCTGGTGGACTTCAACTCCCAGAATTCCTTGCTGGCTGGGGAGTTCTGTCAGCATGGTTGGCTGGGGAATTCTGGGAGTTGAAGTCCACCGGTCTTAAAGTGGCCAAGGCTGGACACCCCAGATCTCCAAGCTGTACAATTGAATTGAATTGAATTGAATTTATTGTATACCGCCCTATCTCCCTTACGGGACTCAGGGCGGTGAACAGGCAATAATAAAAACCACGATAAATATACACAAGTTTCTGTTCTAAAATCAAATTAAATAACAGGCCTGCTCTAAAAGTACCCCATACAAAACCCCCACTAAAACATAATCAAACTACGCCAGGCCGGCCGCACGGAATAAATGGGCCTTCAGGGCTCGGCGAATGTCCCCACTGCATGCAGGATGATAATCCAGGAATTTACTCAGACTTTGGAAGGGTTTGACCGGAAGCGCACGGGAAGCGAGGAGTACATTGGTGTGAGATGGAAAACCCGAAGCCCTGGGCAAAGGGGACGGTTCGTTCCCGTGGCAGGAAAGCCTCACCAGAAAGACGTGGTCGAAGATCTGCGTGGGGCTGTCCATCTGGCCCAGGATGATGATCATCTCGTTATCTATGAATTCCTTAAATTCTCGCAGGTTGCACGCCATCTGCATTTCCAGTTCTGTGCGGATCTGGGGAGGGAGGGGGAGACAGAGAGACAGAGAGAGAGACAGAGAGAGAAAGAGAGACAGAGACACAGAGATAGAAAGAGACAGACAGACAGATAGAGGGAGGGAGGGACAGAGAGAGAAAGAGAGAGAGACGGAGAGAGACAAGAGAGAAAGAGAGAGACAGATAAAGAGAGACAGACAGAGAGAAAGAGACAGATAAAGAGAGAGACAGACAGACAGACAGACAGAGACAAGAGAGAAAGAGACAGATAAAGAGAGAGAAAGAGACAGATAAAGAGAGAGACAGAGACAGAGACAGAGAGACAGACAGACAGAGACAAGAGAGAAAGACACAGATAAAAAGAGAGAAAGAGACAGACAGACAGATAGAGGGAGGGAGAGACAGAGAGAGACAGACAGAGAGAGAAAGAAAGAGAGAGACAGGTAAAGAGAGACAGACAGAGAGAAAGAAAGAGACAGATAAAGAGAGACAGAGACAGACAGACAGACAGACAGAGACAAGAGAGAAAGACACAGATAAAGAGAGAGAAAGAGACAGACAGACAGAGGGAGGGAGGGACAGAGAGAAAGAGAGAGAGACAGAGAGAGACAAGAGAGAAAGAGAGAGACAGATAAAGAGAGACAGACAGAGAGAAAGAGACAGATAAAGAGAGAGACAGAGACAGACAGACAGACAGAGACAAGAGAGAAAGACACAGATAAAGAGAGAGAAAGAGACAGACAGACAGAGGGAGGGAGGGACAGAGAGAAAGAGAGAGAGACAGAGAGAGACAAGAGAGAAAGAGAGAGACAGATAAAGAGAGACAGACAGAGAGAAAGAGACAGATAAAGAGAGAGAAAGAGACAGACAGACAGAGGGAGGGAGGGAGAGACAGAGAGAGACAAGACAGAGAGAGAGAGAAAGACAGAGACAGACACAGACATACAGAGAGAGACAGACAGAGAAAGAGAGAGAGAGACAGACAGAGAGAGACAGAGACACACAGAGAGAAAGAGACAGACAGACAGAGACAGAGAGAAAGAGGGAGGGAGAGACAGACAGACAGAGAGAGAAAGAGAGAGAGAGAGAGGGAGGGAGGGAGGGAGGGAGGGAGGGAGGGAGGGAGAGAAAGAGAGAGAGAGAGAGAGAACAAGCATTTTTTAAAAATAAAATATTTCAAATAAAAGAATTTGAAATAAAATGCTATTTTAACACTTGATGGCTGGATATTGTCAAAGCTGACCCCAGCCAGACCATAGGAGGAGTGAAAGATTAGAAGTTGTGGAGAGACCCGGTCCAAGATCAATCAATCAGAATAGAGCCGGAAGGGACCTCGGAGGTCATCTAGTCCAACCCCCTGCTCAAGCAGGAGACCCTAGACCATTTCAACCTCTTCTTAAAAACCTCCAGTGTTGAAGCACCCACCACTTCTGGTGGCAAGCCGTTCCACTGGTGAATGGTCCTCCCTGTCAGGAAATTTCTCCTGAATTCCAGGTTGCTTCTCTCCTGGATCAGTTTCCATCTGTCACTGGGTGCTTGGGAGAATAGTTGGACCCCCTGTTCCCCAAAGGTCCCCTTCCCACCCCACTCACCTCCTTGGACGTGATGTTCTCCAGATCCTTCTGCATCATAATCTCTCTCAGTTTGGTCTTGATCAGACGCTCCGTCCGCTCGCGCTCCGTGGGGCTGAAACGAGGGAAGCTACAACGGTGAAAACCGGAAGGAAGATACGGGCGCGGGCAAGGAAGGGGTGCAGAATTTGACAGCACCCCTGAATGTGTTCCTTTCCTGTTCCCCCCTTCCCCTTTTCCCTGTGGTGCAACTGAGGTCCGGCATCTCTCCGTCCCCCTCACCCAGCTTCGTTTATTTATTAATTATTCCTCCTTTGGATGGTTTTTTTTTTTCATAAAACGGTTTCGTTTTTAGAATTTGTAAGCCGCCCAAAGTCCCTTAGTTGCACTGGGCAGCGCCATACAGCTAGTTCTCGACTTATAACCGTTCAAAATTAGGACAGCACCGACAAAAAGTGACTTGTGACCGCTTTCGGCCACTGCAGCATCCCCAAAATCCAGACGCTTAGCGACGGGCTCATCTTTATGACGGTTGCAGCGTTCCTGGGGTCACACGACACCCTTCTCACAAGGAAAGTCAGTGGGGATTCACTTAATGACCGTGTTGCTAACTGCAGCGATTCGCTTAACAATCCCGTGTGCCTCACAGCTGCAGCGACTGACTTTAACAATGGTGGCAAGGAAGGTGGTAGAATGGGGCAAAACCCACTCAACATCCCCTCTTGCTCAGCCAATTGTGGTCGTTAAGGTGAGGACTACGTCACCCGCTGTGTGCTTAAGAGCTCAAAACATTGTTAAAGAGACCACACACACACACAGCCACTTCACGGTCTGTTCCTGTTGCTCCCCTCTGGGAGGAGGTTTTGAAGTATTTATAGCAGGACCACCCATTCTGTGACAACTTTGTTCCCTACGCCGTCCATCTGGTAAACCGCGCCAGATTCGTTTTTCTCGCCAGGCACATGTATACATAGCCCGAACTAGACTGTGTGGTTTCTCTATGTCATATAATATATGTGGGTATAGGCATAATCTGTATTTACTTATTTATTTTTGTCATAGTTATGTAGCGTATATCGGAGGTGGCGACCCTTTGAGAGCTGAATGCAATGAAATTTCATTTTAATGTATGCCGATTAGTGCACATTCAGAGTTACAATAAAGTTATTATTCTATTCTATTCTATTCTATTCTATTCTATTCTATTCTATTCTATTTCCTATTCTATTCCAACTCTGTTATTCTATTTCTATTCTATTCTATTCTATTCTATTCTATTCTATTCTATTCTATTCTATTCTTTCCATATTCTATTCTATTCTATTCTATTCTATTCTATTCTGTTCTGTTCTGTTCTGTTCCCTTCCATTTCCTATTCTATTCTATTCTATTCTATTCTATTCTATTCTATTCTATTCTATTCTATTCTATTCTGTTCTGCTCTGCTCTGTTCCCTTCCATTTTCTATTCTATTCTATTCTATTCTATTCTATTCTATTCTATTCCATTCTTTCCATATTCTATTCTATTCTATTCTATTCTATTCTATTCTATTCTATTCTTTCCATATTCTTTCCATATTCTTTCCATATTCTATTCTATTCTATTCTATTCTATTCTATTCTATTCTATTCTATATTTTATTCCATATTCTATTCCATTCCATTCTACTATTCTATAATCCAGTGGTGGCGAACCTATGGCACGGGTGCCAGAGTCGGCACTCGGAGCCCTCTCTATGGGCACACGTGCCGTTGCCCCAGCTTTGCCTCCCTCCACGACCCCCTCCTCACCAGCAGCCCCCCTGGAGGAGAGTCAGCCCCGAGCGTGGCCCACGTGGAGCAGCGCAGCCAGGGACATGGCAGCCAGGCAGTGTAGACAAGACTCTACCCTCGCGCCCCATCATGCACAGTTGATGCTGCGGGGTGTGGGCAAAAAGCGTGGCCGCCATGGCGCTGCTGGCCTGCCTGGGCGATCTGCGGCGGGTCCTGGAGGCGGTGAGCGGCCCTGTGGGCAGGCAGGGCAAGGGATGGGGTGGGGGGTGGAATGGGGGCGGGCCAATTTTTGGGCACTCGGTCTCTAAAAGGTTCGCCATCACTGCTATAATCTATTTTATAATCTATTCTATAATCTATCCTATCCTATCGTAACTCTAATGACTAAGTAAATGAACATAAAATGGGTCATTCCTCCGTGTTTCTCCAGTGAGGCCACCCAGAGCTGAGTGGGTTCAAGGTCACAGGCTGGAAATTGAGGAAGCAGCTGGACAGCATCCCTGGAATAACCGAGGGATCAGCTTGGTGGCCCCCTGCCCCCTGCACCGATAAGGGCATCGGCGCGCTTTGTAGCGCCGTCCTGCCTCTGGCACCCCCTACCTTTCTTGGAGAGGTGACCCTTCCAGGCTTCCTTATATGGCACCGAGAACTGGCCCCTGCATTCCGGGCCGCCTCCGGCTTTATCACCGGCTATAAAAATAGCCAAGCCTCATCCGAGGGGATGAAGTCCCGGACGACTCCAAAGGCAGCCGGCCGATGCCATCAATGGCCTGAGCCCAGGAAGGGCCAGGCCAGCTCAGCCAAAGGGGGTGGGGGATGGGGGTGGATCCTTTGGGCTGGGGGCTTTCTGAAAGCCTCCAGTGGTTCCTTCGGCTCTACTTTACAAGTCAACTTGCAATTAGAGTTGGGAAGGCCTGGGGGAAAAAAACTGGGAAAATTGGGGGAAAAAAACCAGGGTTTTTTTCCCCATTTTCCCCCACCCCCCAAACGGCTTTAGAACAAAAGAAAAAAGAGAAAACCTGTTTTTTTTTCCTCGATTTTTCCAGGGTTTTAAAAAAAATTTTATCCAGGCCTTCCCATCTCTACTTGCAACCGTTCGTTTAGGGCAGTGATGGCGAACCTTTTAGAGACCGAGTACCCAAAAACTGGCCCCGCCCCCGCTCTGCCCCCACCCCGCCAGCCCACTCACCGCCTCCAGGGCCCACCGCAGATCGCCCAGCAGCACCATGGCGGCCGCACCCTCTATTCTGCTATGTTCCGTTCCCTTCCATTTCCTATTCTATTATATTCCTATTCTATTCTATTCTATTCTATTCTATTCTATTCTATTCTATTCTTTCCATATTCTATTCCATTTCCATTCTTTCCATATTCTATTCTATTCTATTCCATTCCATTCTTTCCATATTCTATTCTATTCTATTCCTTATTCTATTCTATTCTATTCTATTCTATTCTATTCTATTCTATTCTATTCTATTCTATTCCATTCTTTCCATATTCTATTCTATTCTATTCTATTCTATTCTATTCTATTCTATTCTATTCTATTCTATTCTATTCTATTCTATTCTATTCCATTCTTTCCATATTCTATTCTATTCCATTCCATTCCATATTCTATTCTATTCTATTATTCTATTCTATTATTCTAGTCTATATTTTATTCTATATTTTATTCTATATTTTATTCCATATTCTATTCCATTCCATTCTATAATCTATTCAATAATCTATTCTATAATCTATCCTATCCTATCATAAATCTAATGAATAAGTAAATGAACATAAAATGGGTCATTCCTCCGTGTGTCTCCAGCGAGGCCACCCATCAACTGTGCATGATGGGGCATGAGGGCAGAATCTTGTCTACGCTGCCTGGCTGCCATGTCCTTGGCTGCGCTGCTCCGCATGGGCCACGCTCGGGGGCGACTCTCCTCCAGGGGGGCTGCTGGGGAGGGGTTGCGGGGGGAGGCAAGGCTGGGGCAACGGCACGTGTGCCCACAGAGAGGGCTCCGAGTGCCGCCTCTGGCACCCCTGTCATAGGTTCGCTACCACTGGTTTAGGGACTCTCCAAAGTTCCTCCAGGGGCCTGGCAAAAGTTGATTCGTGGCCCCTTTTTCACACTTACAACCGTTGCAGCCTCTGCCCCCCGTGGGTCACCTGATCAAAATTCAGACGCTTGGCAACTGACTCGTATTTAAGACGGTCGCAGCGTCCTGGGGTCACGTGATTCCTCCTTTTGCGACCTTCGGACGGGGCAAAGCCAAATGGGGAAGCCAGAGTCATTTAACAGCCGTGTGACTCACTTAATGGCTGCAGTGATTCACTTAATGACGGTGGCGGGAAAGGTCGTAAAATGGGGCAAAACTCACTTAAGACAAATTCGTTTGTCCAATCACACTTGGCCAATAAAGAATTCTATTCTATTCTGTTCTATTCTATTCTATTCTATTCTATTCTATTCTATTCTATTCTTCATTCCTTCTATTCTATTCTTTTCATTCTTCTATTCTATTCTATTCTTTTTCATTCTATTTTGTTCTATTCTTTTCATTTTTCTATTCTATTCTATTCTTTTCATTCTTCTATTCTATTTTCATCCTATTCTTTTCATTCTTCTATTCTACTCTACTCTATTCTTTTCATTCTTCTATTTATTCTACTCTATTCTATTGTAGTTTTTCATTCTTCTATTCTATTCTATTTTCATTTTTCTATTCTATTCTTTTCATTCTTCTATTCTATTCTATTCTTTTTCATTCTATTTTGTTCTATTCTTTTCATTTTTCTATTCTATTCTATTCTTTTCATTCTTCTACTCTACTCTATTCTTTTCATTCTTCTATTTATTCTACTCTATTCTATTGTAGTCTTTTCATTCTTCTATTCTATTCTATTCTATTCTATTCTATTCTATTCTATTCTATTCTATTCTATTCTGTTCTGTTCTGTTCCCATAATTCAATTCAATTCAATTCAATTCAATTCTACTCTACTCTACTCTACTCTACTTACAACAGCCTCACTTAGAGTTGGGAATTTTGGCCTCCACTGTGCTCGTACATCAAGACTATCTGTAAAAATGGTTTCCCCCCCTCTTCCTTTGCTTGATCCTTGTGTCCTTGTGGGAGTCTAGCAGGGTGCACCAATCCACTTACACGTCCGTAAAGAGGACTGGGGAATCCGGGCGGTGGGACTGGACATCCTGCATGGCGTTCCACTCGTTGACCGAGGACTGGTCGGAATTGATGTGGCTCTCATAGNGCTAGAAGGAATGGGGTGTGTGGAGTGGAGGAGAAGAAGATTGGGAGGAGGAAGAGGAGGAAGAGGAAGAGGGAGAGGAGAAGGAGAGGAGGAGGAGGAGGCATGTGGGATCCTTGATGCTCTCTGGGCTTTGTGGTTTTCTTGCAGATGTTTCATTACCCAACTAGGGAACATCATCAGTGCTAGAAGGAGTGGGGTGGGTGGAGTGGAGGAGGAGAAGAGGGGGAGGAGGAGGGGGAGGAGGAGGAGGAGGAGGAAGAGGAGGAGGAGGAGGCCTCTGGGATCCTTGATGCTCTCTGAGCTGGATGGTTTTCTTGCAGATGTTTCATTACCCAACTAGGGAACATCATCAGTGCTAGAAGGAGTGGGGTGTGTGGAGTGGAGAAGAAGATTGGGAGGAGGAGGAGGAGGAGGAGGAGGAGGAGGAGGAGGCTTGTGGGATCCTTGATGCTCTCTGGGCTTTGTGGTTTTCTTGCAGATGTTTCATGACCCAACTAGGTAACCTCATCAGTGCTAGAAGGAGTGGGGTGTGTGGAGTGGAGGAGGAGAAGAGTGGGAGAAGGAAGAGGATTATGGGGCCCTTGGTGCCCTCTGGGCTTGGCTGCCTTCCTGCAGATGTCTCATCACCCAACTAGCTAACATCATCAATGTCAGTCACCCTGGTTTCCGCTCGCCAAGCTCAATTTTGCTGCAAAGGCAGAAGGCAATTTGGGAAAAAAAGCAATGAAAGGCATCACATAAACACACAAACCGGTGTGCTAAGCCCTTGGCACGGGCTGGGCACCCTGCTCACGCCCGGATGCCAACATCCAAAATAAATCCGTGCTGAGGAATGGAAACCTGGTCACCCCCCCCCTCTTCCCCGTCCTTTTTTATTTCCACGAAGGTCACCATCAGCTCAACCATCGGCTTTCTCGGAATACAAAAATAGCCGGGCAACCTCAAACCCAGATAGAGCTTTTTCTGTGTGTGTGTGTGTGTGTGTAGTGGGGGGGGCTGCCCAGGGTGAAGGAGAAGACAAGCTTCTGTTAAACCAGGATGTGCAACTAGCCGTGGTGCCCGGTGGTGCCGGAGAAGGCTCCCGCATGTCCCTTGAACACCAAAGCAAGACTAACAAGCAAAGAACCGGAGGGCATCTCCGCAAATGGGGCAGTCAACTTATTCCACAACTGAGAATTATTAGAAAATAAGAATACTATTATCGCATTATTAACGTGTTGAATGAAGATGGTGAGAAGTCATATAGATAAGATGTGTATCCCGAGTATTAGACTTGGGGAGGAATGGTGATAAAGGAATTGGGGTCATCTCAAGGGTGGAAATGGTCATTATTAAACGTTAAATTTAAATTATTAATGAAAAATTTAAAATGGAGAAAAATTGATTAGGTCGCTGATTGTCTAAAGCAGGGGTAGGCCACCTTGGCTCTTTTATGACTCGCAGACTTCAACTCCCAGAATTCCTGAGCCAGCCATGCTGAGGGGAAAGGGAGAGGTTTCCAAGCTGAGCCATGCTGGCTGAGGAATTCTGGGAGTTGAAGTCCACCAGTCATGAAGGAGCCATAGTTCCCCCATGCTGGCTCAGGAATTCTGGGAGTTGAAGTCCACCAGTCATGAAGGGGGCCATAGTTGCCCCCAAGCTGGCTCAGGAATTCTGGGAGTTGAAGTCCACCAGTCATGAAGGGGGCCATAGTTGCCCCCAAGCTGGCTCAGGAATTCTGGGAGTTGAAGACCATGAGTCATAAAGGGGGTCATAGTTCCCCCATGCTGGCTGAGGAATTCTGGGACTTGAAGTCCACCAGTCATGAAGGGGGTCATAGTTCCCCCATGCTGGCTCAGGAATTCTGGGAGTTGAAGTCCACCAGTCATACAAGAGCCAAGGTTGCCTACCCCTGGTCTAAAGACCGAAAGTTAAAATAAGGAAAGTTTTTAAGAAGAGACTGGACAGCCATTTGTCCGAAATGGTATAGGGTTTCCTATAATAAAGTTGGAAGGGACCTTGGAGGTCATCTAGNCCCTCTTAAAGCATGCTGGCTGGGGAATTCTGGGAGTGGAAGTCCACCCCTCTTAAAGCATGGCTGGCTGGGGAATTCTGGGAGTGGAAGCCCACCCCTCTTAAAGCATGCTGGCTGGGGAATTCTGGGAGTGGAAGTCCACCCCTCTTAAAGCATGGCTGGCTGGGGAATTCTGGGAGTGGAAGCCCACCCCTCTTAAAGTCCACCCCTCTACAGTTGAGAAACACAGTTCTAGACTAACCCAATGCTGTCGGGGAAGAAAATCTGGGGTACCAGGTGGAAGGGAAGATGGAGTCCCAAGCTCAGGTGGGACCCAGTGCTTACCCATCGCCGTCCAAATGGATGAGGGCATCGCTCCAGAGCGGCAGGACCAGCCCCATTGTGCAAACCGTGCTGTAGGACCAATAAAAAAACACCTGTTGAAGCTCGTAACAATCTCGGAGCCTTGAACCCAGGACCAACACACTCCCCCACCCAAGATCCTACCTTGTTTCCAATGATATGAGACACAATTGTGTTGAACGCACTTAAAGCCCCAGGTCAATGCATAGTGCCTATGGGCAGCATAGGTAGTCCAGAGCAGAGGTGGGGAACCTTGGCTCTTTTATGACTTGCAGCAACAGAAAGTTTGAGCTAAATTGTGGTTGTTGAGGACTAGCTACATTTTTTTAACTTCCTTAAAAAAAACAATATGAATTTGATGGGCCCTGAATTTATTTATTTTCTTTCATTGTGAATTGCTCCAAAATCGGAGCAATAAGTGAATAAACTGCCTTTATTCATTTACGCTACTGCTGATTTTTTTACCTTATTTTTTTATTCACTTGTGTTCCCGCTGATTTTTTTCAGCTTTTATTTATTTTTCATTCACTTATTTATTTTCCCGCTGATTTTTTTCAGCTTTTATTTTTTTAATCACTTATTTATGTTCCCGCCGATTTTTTTTAGCTTTTGTTTATTCAATTATTTGTTTCCGCTAATTTTTTTCAGCTTTTATTTATTTTTTTCACGTTTCTTACCAGATTTTTTTACAGCTTTTATTTATTTATTCACTTATTTATGTTCCCGCTGATTTTTTAGCTTTTGTTTATTCAATTATTTATGTTACCGCTGATTTTTTCAGCTTTTACTTATTCACTTAATGTTCCCACTAATTTTTTTCAGCTTTTATTTTTTATTCACTTATTTATGTTCCCGCTGATTATTTACAGCTTTTATTTATTTATTCACTTATTTATGCTCCCGCTGATTATTTACAGCTTTTATTTATTTATTTATTTATTCTTATTTATGTTCCCACTGTTTTTACAGCTTTTATTTAATAATAATAATAATAATAATAATAATAAAGTTGGAAGGGACCTTGGAGGTCATCTAGTCCAACTCACTTATTTATGTTACTGCTGATTATTTTCAGCTTTCATTTTTTTTATTGACTTTATTCATATTACCATTGGGTGTTTTTTTTTCCAGCTTGTTTATTTCTTTATTCAATGTTGATTTTTTTTCCAGCTCGTTCTTAAAGGGAGGAAGATCTTTTATTTATTTATTTATTCAATTATGTTCCGCTGATTTTTTTACAGCTTTTATTTATTTATTCACTTATGTTCCGCTGATATTTTTACAGCTTTTATTTATTTATTCACTTATGTTCCGCTGA